CCAGCCCTTTATTTATTTTTTTATTTTTATTTATTTATTTATTTTTTGTGGAACCGGGGTTTGAACTGAAGCTCTTATGCTTGCCAGGCAAGTGCTTATTCTATTGAATTATCTCCCTGACCCCTCTGTTTTTGTTTTTGTTTTTCTCGGAACCAGGGTCAGATCTTTGTGTTTGCCAGTCAAGCGCTTATCCTACTGAGCCATCTCCCCGGCCCCTTCCCTGACCCCTCTGGATTTTTTTTTTTTTTTTTTTTTTTTGTGGAACTAGGGATCAAAAACTCTGGACCTTGCAGTTTGCCAGGCAGGTGCTTGTGCCGCTGAACTGTCTTCCCAGTCCCTGTAAGTGGTAAAGTAGCCACAGCACACATGGGAGACATTAAGTACATCCACGTGTCACTGCATGCCGCGCCCCGCCGATAGAGCAGATAGAGCCCAGGCCTGGTGGGGCACCTGTAATCCCAGCAGTAGGGAAGCAGAAAACAGGAAGATCACTATGAGTCCAACCTGCATAGTGAGACCCTACACACACACACACACACACACACACACACAGACACACAGTACATCCATGGTATTATGAAACCATTACATCATCCATCTAGAATTTTTTCATCCTTTTCGGTTGAAGCTCTGTCCACATTGAGCAATAGCTCCTCATTTCCTCCACGCCCACCTCCCGGCAAGCAGTAAAATGTGTATTTTTAAAAGAAAAACATTTTTCTACACATACTTTTTTTTTTGCGGAACCGGGGATTGAACTCAGGCCCTTGCGCTTGCCAGGGAAGCGCTTATTCTACTGAGTCATCTCCCTGGCCCCTTACACATACATCTTGCTTTTATCAATATAACTGAAAACAAAAACAAAAACAAAAACGAAGCCAGGCATGGTGGCACACGCCTGGAATCTCAGTCCTTGGGAAGCTGAGGAAGGAGGATTGCTGAGACTTCAGGGCCAGCCTGGACAGCAAGACCCTGTCTCGTTCAAACAAACAAACAAATGAAAACAACCAGGGCCAGTGGAGTAGCGAATCCCTGTAATCCCAGGTACTCAGGAGGCTAAGGCAAGAGGACTTTGGCTTTGGGGCAAGTCTAGAGGAAGGAACCTAGTGAGACGACAGAGAGGAAAACGAACTCTCCAGTCGAGGGGCAGATGCATAAAGGGAGCTTTTACACTCGTGGGTGCAGAAGCTCGTTGGATGCGCGCGAACCCAAAACCTCACAGATGCTTCTTTGTTTCCTCTTCCAGTTAAAGTCAAACATTTGCAGAAAAAAAGGTGAGCCCCTGGGGCGCTCAGGAGGGCGGCTTGGGGACGGGAGAAGCTTCTTGGCGGGTGAGCGCCCTCTGCTGGACGACTGCCGAACAGGCACGGATGGCACTTAACTAAGCCTACCCGGTGCGGGGCTTTCGCTTCTTTGCCTCGGTGACTCGGCTCTCCCGCCTCCTCCTCACCTCGAGCCGTCAGGAAGTCGTCGCAGTCACTCAAGATGTCCGGGTGGATTTCTGCGGGTGTCCCCAGGGTTGTGCCGTGCCCAACCTGTACTCCGGTGGCCCTGGGTCGTGATAGCCCGGGGGCTGCCGCCGACCGAGGCTGCTCGGCAAATCAGGCTCCTCGCAGGAAGGATATATGGGTCTGATTTGGGGCCAGGGTAGTCCAGCACCCCGATCCTGTCTCATGCGCAGCTTCTCTTCTGTCCTTTCTCCCCAGAGAGCGGGAATCGTGCTGGGTGCAGATGAACTACGACAATGCAGGTTTGTGCTTCCTTGCCGCGATCCCCGCCGGGAACCCAGAGGTCGAACTTCGAGTACCCCAGCGCTCCAGGAGGAGCCTGAGGCAGGAGGATCGGAAGTTCAAGCCCCTTCCGGGCAACTCAGAGACTTGGCAAGATCCTGTCTCAAAACTAAAAAAAGATGAGGCAGGAGGAGTTCAAGACCAGCCTGGGCTACAAAGTGAGCTCAAGGCCAGCCTGAGCTGCGTAGAGAGATCCTGTCTCAAAAAGACAAAGCAAACAAACAAAAAACTTGAAAAGAGCTAGGGATGTAGCTCAGTGTCAAGGCCCTGGGTCCAATCCCAGTAGTAAAAAACAAAACAAAGTCATTAATAAGTTTATTATTCATTACTTGGACCTGTTTGGGGGTGAATGTTACACAGAGGTTCAAAACACATCCTCTTCCCTAAAATACAAAAAAAAAAAAAAAAAAAAAGAAAGAAAAGAAAAAAGAAAGAAAGAAAAGAAAAAGAAAAGGGCCTGCCAAATAGTTCAGCGGATTAAAGATTAAAGTGCTGCAAGCAGCCGGTTGGATCCCAGGCCTGCTGTGCTGGCCCTGCCTGTGGGGCCCACTGAGTTGGCAACTGAGACTGGGCGTGGTGGGCGTGCCTGTGATCCCAGCTCTTGGGAGGCTGTAAACAGGTGATCACTCACTAGTAGTCCAATCTAGTCGTGAGACCCTGAATACCCAGTAGACCCTTCCCTTGTGGGGTGTGAGGAGGATGTGTGTGCTTTTAAAAAATAGATTGGTGGTACCTGTGAGATCCTTAGAGCTGCAGCTGTCTGTCCTTGCACTTGGGTGTGAGGAGCTGCTTCTCTCCTGGCCCGTGGGCCCGCGTCTCTGCCTCTGTCCTCTAGTGATGGTGTTCCCTGCTCACGTCCACCCCACTACCTGCTTTCTTACCTATCACAAAGTAATGCTGTAAGAGGATCTTGTTTTTTTGTTGTTTTTTTTTTTTAATTTTATTTATGTGTGTGTGTGTGTGTGTGTGTGTG